CATGCATTTAGGTTTTTGTCACACACACACACACACACACACACACACACACACACACACACACACAAGTTTCTCATGCATTTTTTTTTTGCCCAGGTCAGCCTGACTGTAATCTTTTAAACCTCTTGAATAACTGGGATTACAGGTATGCACCATTATTCCCGACTAGTACCTTTTTTCATTTTTTATTATCTTTAAGTAGTTGTACAAAGAAGTTCCCAAGCTACAAAACAGTATATGAATACAAAGTGTCTAACATTGTTACCCATTACTTCTAACCCACCCCTTCTCACTTTTTTTTTTTTTTTTGTCAGTTGTGAGGCCTGAACTCTGGGCCTGGGCACTGTCCCTCAGCTCTTCAGTTCAAGGCTAGTGCTCTACCACTTTAAGCCACAGCGCCACTTCCTGGTTTTTCTGCTTATGTGTTGCTGAGGAATCAAACCCAGGGTCTCACGCATGCAAGGCAAGCGCTCTACCACTGAGCCACCTTTCCAACCCTCACTTTTTTTTTTTTTAAAGATTAGGTGATTACATAAATTTCACATATGTCACAGTATTGTGGAATAGTGACACTTAAAGTCACAAACACATTTTAACCTTCCCAAGGCAAATTGTCATTATCGTGGTCTATAAAGTTTTTGAATTCTATGAGCTTTGACAATACAATTATTTCTTCCACATCAGGTGAGTTACATTTCTTTCCTTTTGCTTAGTGTAAGCTGTTCCCTCTTTCCCTCTCATTCCTCCTTTCCCATCACCGTCTTTGGATTGTTTAGTTCATGTTCATCTATATCCAGTGCAGCTGATGGCCCCTCTGTTGTATGTCTTCCTGTTTCCCACTGATTGTGTCCTCTTAGCTTCCCTCCATTGCATTCATATATGTACCATATATGTGGTCAAGAACATAAGAGTCATTTAACAATGATACGACAAAATGAGTGGCAGTCCTTTGTTCTTGAGTCTTGTTTACTTTGTCATATCTCCTTGCATTTTGGCTTTAGCATCCACGTATCAGGGAGACCATGTGCCATTTGTCACTTTGCTCTTGGCTTACCTCGCTCTAAATGATTCACTCTAGTTCCACCCTTTTCCCTGCAAATGCCATTATTTTGTCCTTTCTAATGGCGGCATAATATTCCATTGTACCATAAAAACATCTGTTGGTGGTGGGTTTTCTCCTAAGATAGTAACAGTAATTCTAAAAAAATTGACCTTAGTTTATAGTTCCAAACCGAAACCTGCACTATGCGTACAATGTAAAATTAGAGAGCTGCTCTCCTTTTGTATTTAAAACAAACCACAATTTTTTGTATTTATTGTAAGAAACAGCTTTTTTTTTTTTTAAGACAGCATCTTGTTATATAACACAAGCTGGCCTGGAACTTGAGATCCTACTGCTTCAGTGTCATAGGCTGGGATTACAGGAGTGTGTCACCATGCCTGGCTAAATCTTAGCTGGTAATACATTCTAAGATCTTATAAGGAGAATGTGTGGAAACTCCCCACCCAGTATCCTGACACTAGAAGGGAGGACTCAAAGTCAACAACTCAAAAACAACAACTCTGGACATTAAGTGACTGTCTCAACCAACACAGCCCCTGTGGGCCTCATTCCCCTGTGTAACAAACTTGGTCAGAAGTTGTTCTATCATTTCCTCAAAATAAAGCAAACCTCCATGTTCCTGGGGAAAGTTCACACAGTCACAGGGGTCAGACTAGTTTCCTTCTCACACGCTTGCAAAGTAAGTAGTTCTGGTGGCTCATGCTTATAATCCTCTTTACTCAAGAGAATAAGATCTGAAAATGGTAATTCAAAGCCAACCCCAGAAGGAAATGTTCTCTGTCTCCAGTGAACCCGCAAAATGCCAGAAGTGAAGATGTGGCTCAGGTGGTGGAGTGCAGGCTGGAAGAAAAAGTCAGGCAAGAGCTGGGCTTTGGTAGCTCACACCTGTAATCCTCGCTACTCAGGAGGCTGAGATTTGAGGATTGCAGTTTGAAGCTAGTCAGGTCAGGAAAGTCTGTGAGACTCTTACTTCCAATTAACCACCAGAAAACCATAAGTGGAGCTGTGGCTCAACGTGGTAGAATACTAGCTTTGAGGGGAAAAAGCTCAAGGACAGCACCCATGCCCTGAGTCAAGCTTCACAACTGACTGGGGGGAGGGAGGGGATCCGAGTGTGGTGGTTCTGAGTTCAAGTACTAGCACAAAAGAAGCAAAAACAGAAAGAAAAAAAAAAGACAAACCTTAGTGTAAAAGATTTCCGTGTTCAACCTTAAACTTGGGAAAGACTGCTCTGATCCATTTTGAGGAACTTATTTCAGAAACAAACTTTCAAATTTGTTCTTCAGCTGACTGCACAAAAAGAATTCAAAGTTCCCCTTTCCCACGGTGAACTGCACAACTAAGACAAGCAGGATCTGCTAAGCCAGCTTCCTGCTCCCCGGACAAGGGCTGCCCCATTCTGATTCCAGTAACAAGCCTTTGGTGACACCTTGTGGACAAGTTTGAGATTGCAACCCATGCACCACTGGCAGCTGGCTATGCTGGAGATGGGGACACTGAATGTTGGCTTGTTTTGGGTGTACCCAGATGTGACAAGGCCGGAGGAGAGCTTACCCAGGGATGCAGTGATGTGCCGGGACCAGAAGTACAAACCTCCTGGCCACCCCAGCAGTGCGACTATTCCTGATTTCCCAGCTAAGGGGTCCTGTGGGGTGGTTGGGGCTGCACTGGAGCAGCTAGATGATATCGGGTAGCATCTGACACCCAGCACCACACATGCTCCATGACACTGGCTGCCAGGGCCAATGGACAAATGGGGCTAAGACATGGCTGACAGCCAAGAGTTACAACTTAAAAACCACCCAATGGTCTGGGAATGTGGCTTAGTGGTAGAGTGCTTACCTAGCATGCACAAAGCCCTGGGTTCAATTTCTCAGTACCACATAAAACAGAAGCAGCCACAAGTGGTGCTGTGGTTCAAGTGGTACAGTGCTAGTCTTGAGCAAAAGCTGCTCTGGGACAATGCCCAGGCCCTGAGTTCAAGCCCCGCGACTGACAAAAAAAAACCCCACAATCTCAGTAGCCAACAGGAGTGGATCCTGCCCACCTCAGTCAGGTAGGTGCTTCACCACTTGAGCCATGCCCACCAACCCTATTTGCTTTAATTATTTCCCAAATAGGGCCTCACACTTATGCTTACAGAAGACCCAGACCCCAATACTCCTATGTACACTTCCCAAGTAGTTGTGATACAGATACATGCCATCATACCCAGCTTTTTATTGATTGAGATGGGGTTTTGAGAACTTTCCGCCAGGGCCAGCTTAGAACTGTGATCCTCTGAATCTTTACTTCCCAAGTAGCTGGGATTACAGGTAGGAGCCACTGTGTGCAGCCAAAAAGCATATGCATTCTTATTTTTGTGCCTGTCTTGGGGCTTGAACTCAGGGACTAGATACTGTCCCTGAGCTTTTGTGCTCAAAGCTAACGCTCTACCACTTAAGCCACAGCTCCCTTTCCAGCCTTTTTTTTTTGGGGGGGGGTCTGGTTGTGGGGCCTGAACTCGGCCTGGGCACTGTCCCTCAGCTCTTCAGCTCAAGGCTAGCGCTCTACCTCTTGAGCCACAGCACCACTTCCAGCTTTTTTCTTTTTGCTTATGTGGTGCTGAGGAATCGAACCCAGGGCCTCAGGCATGCGAGGCACACGCTCTACCACTGAGCCATCTTCCCAGCCCCTCCCTTTCCAGCTTTTTGATAGTAACTAAAAGATTTCCTACCCAGTCTGGCTTTGAATTGTGATCCTCAGGTCTCAGCTGAATAGCAAGGATTACAGGCATGAGCTATAGGAAACTTGAGAGTGGCTGTTTGGCTGTGGCAGGTGTTGAGTGCCAATGTGGCACACGTCAGATTCTGACTAGCTAATCTTCACCTGAGGCTCGCTGTCCCACTGTCCAGGAGGCCCAGGACTGTGCTATGTGCTAACAGAATCTGTACTTCCTACTTCCCTCATCTTAAAATAATAAGCCGGGCACCAGTAATCCTTGCTACACAAGGAGGCTGAGATCTGAGGATCACTGAAGTCAGCCTAGGCAGAAAAGTCCGGGTAAGGCTCTCATCGCTAATTAACCACTCAAAAACCAGAAGTGGAGTTGTGGCTCAAAGTGGTAGAGTGCTAGCCTTGAGCAAAAGAACTCAGGGACAGCACCCAGGCCCTAAGGTCAAGCCCCACAAGTGAAAAAAAAAAAAAAGCAAATTGCTTATAATGAAACAGAAGAGATAAAACCAATTATGCTGTTTTATTAATCCAGTCTATGTGGATTGTTACCATTTCAGCAGGCAAACAACCAGTGCGTTTATCCTAAGTCCAGAAGCCAATGAATTCAACATGCATTCCTCTCAGGGCAGTATTAAAATCCCTACAGAGGCCCTGGACCTGCATTTGGCTCTCACAGAAATGGTGTGAAATGCATCTACACACCCATGTTCCTTAATGGTGCTCAAGTTTCTAGTGACCACGGTGAGTCTATCTCGGAAGCTGCACACAGGCAAGATGGCAGAGGGTTGGGGCACACGGCAGCTGTGGCCATCCGTGGCAGGTGGCCCTGAACTGGGGTGTGGATGCCAGTGCTGAGAAAACCCGGGCTTAGGACAATGTCACCAGCTAACAGCAAGTGATAGTCAGTGGTCTACACTAGAAACTGAATACACCCCACTGGCTAGATTTTTTTTTGGTACCAGTCCTGGGGTTTGAACTCAGGGCCTGGGTACCATCCTTGAGCTGCTTTTGCTCAAGGCCAGTGCTCTACCAATTGAACCACAGCTCTACTTCTTTCTTTGGTAATTTATTGGGGATAAGTCTCATGAATTTTCTGCTCAGTCCGACTTCAAATTGTGATCCTCAGATCTCAGCCAGTGGACCTTGCAGTCTTGCTTGGCTTTTTCATTCAGGGATGGCACTCTACCACTTGAACCATCCTTTTTGGTGGATATTCTGGAGATGGGGGCCTCACAGACTTCTGCCTATGCAGGCTTTAAACCTTGGTCCTCAGATCTGAGCTTCCTAAGTAGATAGGATTACAGGAATGAGCGGCGGTGCCTGGATTTAGGAGCCTTCTGATGCTTGCTCTAACAGCGAATCCGTGTCCTACTGGTGAAGCTTTCCATTTTAGACTGTGCGAGAAGCTGGAGGGGGTGAGCAGAGCGGGGCACACTGGTGTTACCGCTTCACCTTCCACCTGAAAGGAAGCAGAGTGCTGGGCCACACTTCAGGTCCATGGGCCCACGCTGGTGGCTCCAGAAGCAGTGCCAGCACCCCCGCCTGACATGGATGGTGTAGAATCTGGAGGCCCACACCACCCTTCCCCATGGAAGCATGCTGTGCCATGGAGTCCTGGCATCTACACAAGCTCACTATACTACTAGGCTCAGAGCAGCACCAAGTGCGGTGCAGATACAAGTACCTGAGTAGCTGGGTCAGCCAGCTGGAGAGTGGAGTGTTCACGGTGCCCGGTGCTTTAGACTCTGCTGTGGTTGCTGAACACCTACACAGACAGCCAGATGTGCATGGAGGTGGCAAGAAAGAACACCAAGACCCCCAGCACTCGGTCACCAACTGGCCACCAGGGCCCCGTCCCGTGGTCGATGCCTCCCATCTGCAGAATATGCCATGACACCCAGAAACAACCACAGCGGCTCCCCAGCTTTAATCCTTTTATTAAACCCCAGCTGCACAGCTAGTGGCTCAGCACTGCCAGAGCCCCTGCTCACCCGGCTCGGCTGGCGGAGCTGCCAGAGGAGCTACAGCTGTGATCCAGAGGATGCCGATGCTGGATGCAGAAGTTGCGCTGGCACTGCACACACAGCAGCTGCAGCATCTCCTTCCTCCGACAGCCTGCCCGGGAACAGCGGTGTGCGAACACCTGCAAGCACAGGGCCTCTGTGGGTGAGACTGAGAACACTGGGTGCTGCAGCTCCCGCCTGGCATCTTAGCTACTCAGGAGACTGACATCTAATGATTGTGGTTCAGCCGGAGCAGCAAAATCTGTGAGACTCCACAGAACTACCAAAAATGCCAGAAGTGGAACTATAGCTCAAGTGGTAGAGCAACAGCCCTGAGCAAAATAGAATCTTAGGGACAATGCCCAGGCCCTCAGTTCAAGCCCCAGGACAGGAATTTTATTATGTTTTTTAAATTTTATTTTCATTTTTTTGGTTGGTCATAGAGTCTGAACTCTGGGCATGGGTGGTGTCCCTCAGCTCTTCACTCTACCACTTGAGCCACAGCACCACTTCAGGCTTTTTCTGCTTATGTGGTGCTGAGGAATGGAACCCAGGGCCTCCTGCATGCAAGGCAAGCGTTCTACCACTGAGTCCCATTCCCAGCCCTCAGGACAGAATTTTTTTTTGGGGGGGGGTTAGGGGAGATCAGTCGTGGGGCTTGAATTCTGGGCCTGGGTGCTGTCCTTCAGCTCAAGGCTAGCACTCTACCACTTGAGCCACAGAGCCATTTCTGGTTTTCTGGTGGTTTATTGGAGATAAGAGTCTCACAGACTTTCCCGCCAGGGAAAGTAGCTAGGATTACAGGCGTGAACCACCGGCACTGGCTGGACAGGAATTTTAAAAGAAAAAAATAATAATAAAAAGAAAACAGGGAGAGAAGAAGAAACCCAGGCAGAGCTGGAGGTGGCCACTGGCAGCCTCACTCACAACTAACTACCAAGGGGCAAGCTCCCACTGGCAGCCAGGAGCATGGGACATAGTGTGAGGCGCTGCACATGTGTTCCAACAGGACCCACCAGAGGCCCTGGGTCACAAGGAGGCAGCTGGCTGGGGAGAGCACAATAGCAGCGAGTTCAGATACTGCAGGATCCAGGAGCATGCCCTCCACAGCAGGGGTAGGAATGACCCAAAGGACCCAGAGCGCAGGGCCTCCTGAGGGGACAGGAAGATGACCGCCTCCCTCCCTGGATCCTAGGCAAGCTTGAAAGGTAAATGTAGCTTAATACAAGGATTCCAGAAAACCTTGTTACCTCTCTGCCTCAAGAGAAACCCTAGAATGCAGGAGACCCCAAACTTAGGCTCCCAGGGTCTGGGGTCTCTGCTTCTACAGCTGAAAACTGACTTTCCACACAGCTTCTCAGTGGAGCCCTAACATCTGTGGTTAGAATTCTGCCCTTCCTGCACTTAGGACCAGCTTACCTTCTCTCTTGGTGCAGCACAGCCTACACAATCTCTATCCATATGTTCACTGACCACCACGTCTGCCAGCTCCCCCTTCTTTACTGGGACTGGGACGTTACAGAGAGGACACACGGGGACGCGGACATCCTGCAGGGAGGAATGACACACAGCTGGGATCCAACCAGACCTCACGCAAGATAAAACACAGTAGACACAAACAGGCTGGGCGCCGGCCGGCAGCTCACGCCTGTCATCCTAGCTACTCAGGAGGCTGAGATCTGAGGATCAAGGCTCGAAGCCAGCCTGGGAAGGAAAGTCTGTGAAACTTTTATCTCCAATGAACCACCAGAAAATCAGAAGTGGGGCTGTGGCTGAAAGTAGTAAAGCCCTAACCTTGAGCAAAAGAGCTCAGGGACAGCACCCAAACCCTCAATTCAAGCCCCTGACCAACAGAAGAAAAAAAAAAAAAAAGACAAGACAAAGTGCAGAGATCTGGGGGTCCAGGGACCAAGGCAGCCAGTGGACTTGCATGTGAAGGGGCAGGGGAAGGGGCCAAGGTGAGCACAGAAGCTGTGGCATGAGTGCATGGCTCAGGATGGTGGGGCCATGTCCCACTTCACACAGCCTGAGCCGCATGGTCCCCCACTCATTCATGTGCCAGCCACATCTGATCCTTCATGACACCCACGCAGGTGTGTCACCACCACCCCCCCACTGCCAGCCCCACACAAGGGCTCTGGAGCAAGTGTTGGGGACCCCAGCAGGGCTGGTCCCACAGGGTTGGCTGTGTGTGTGTGGAGCTGACAAATCTGCCCATAGAGGAGAAAGCACCATCTGTATCGGCTGCACACAGACAGTGGCTTCACCCCTACTGGGGCCTAGAGGCCCACACCACAGCCAGAGTCCCAATCAAAGCATGTGACACCAAGTCGTCTGTCCTGTGGATCACCCAGGAATCGAGGATGCCAGCTGGGAGTTCCCACAGGGGGCATCCAGTGCATTTGCTGTGTGGAGCAGGCGGAACCTGTGCAGCAGCAAGGCCGAGCACAGCCTGCAAGGCCCTTTACCTGCTGCCACTGTCTCACCTTATAAAACCCAGTCCTCCCTGCCTCCTCCGCCCCCCAGCTGTTGTTTTTTTTTTTTGTGGGGGGGGAGACTGGTACTGGGAATTGATCTCAGGGCCTGAGCACTGTTCTTTAGCTTCTTTGTTCAACACTAGCACTTTACCATGGAATCACAGCTTCACTTCTGGCTTTTTGATGGTTAATTGGAGACAAGAGTCTTTCCTGCCCAGGCTGACTTCAAACTACGATCTTCACATCGTAGTTGCCTGGGGGGGGGGGGGTGACAGTTTATTCTTTTATTAAAAAAAAATAGGACTGCTGCTGGGCGCCAGTGGCTTACACCTGTAATCCTAGCTACTCAGGAGGCGGAGATCTGAGGATCAAGGATCCCGCCAGCTGGGGCAGGAAACTCCATGAGATTCTTATCTCCAATAAACCACTCAGAAAACCAGAAGTTGCGCTGTGGCTCAAGTGGTGGAGCACTCAGCCTTGAGCTGAAGAGCTATGGGATAGTGCCAGGACCAGAGTTCAAGCCCCACAATGGACAAACCAAAAAAAAAAAATGGGACTGGGAGTTGAACCCAGTGTTATCAGCAGTGGTAGGCAAGTGATCAAGCCATACCCATAGCTTCCCCTTTTAAATTTTATTTTAAAACCAGTCTTGCTATGTAACCCAGGCTGCAATCCTCCTGCCTTAGTCTCCAGCATGGTTGGGATTACAGGCATCTAACACAGAACTTGGCTAAAATACTCAAGTCCAGGGCTGGGAATGTGGTTTAGTGGCAGAGTGCTTACCTAGCATACATGAAGCCCTGGGTTCGATTCCTCAGAACCACATAAATAGAAAAGCTGAAAGTGGCTCTGTGGCTCAAATTATACAGCAATAGCCTTGAGCAAAAAGAAGCTCAGGGTCAGTGCCTAGGCCCTATGTTCAAGCCCCAGGATTGGCCAAAAAAAAAAAAAGGAACAAGTCCTCCTTACTCTTGACTCTTTCTTGTTTGGTTTCTAAGAGAGCTTGTCTCTCATTTACAAATCCATTCTGCACCTACATAAAAACTATTATAGCCTCATTCATGATTTTGTAGCTCAGCTACAGTAACAATCTGACTGCATGGGTCTCTGAAAACAAAAATGCCCGAAAGAAGTCCCTCAGTGGTGGAAAGTCTCTGTGCATGCAATACGGCATGACAGGCCACATGCAGCCAGGGAACATTGGAGACATAATCTGTAGCTAGGAAACTGGGGGCTCTATTTTGTTTGAAATTTTGCAGCGCTGGAGATCAAAACCAAAGCCTTGGGCATATTAGGCACACGTTACTCCAGGACCCATCCCCAGCCCCTGGATTTTATAATTTTCAGAAGATTAAATGGAGCCTGGAGCCAGCAAAGGCTGCACTGGACAGTGAAGAATAGACTGTTCTGAAGACAGCATGATGAATTACCTTCTTGAATGCAAAGGGACATGTATGGGTGGCGCAGGTAAAATGATCTTTACAGAAATCTTGTTTACATGCATCACATTTTAGTGGTAGAAAATCTAAAAAAAATAAAAAATAAAAAAAGGTAAAGTCTCAGGGATGAGAACAAAAGACTGAATTCTATGTAGGCCACAGTAAGCAGGTAATTAATTACCTCCCCTTAGCACCTCATTCACACTTGAGATAAATGTATCCAGGAACTGCCATGCATAGGAAGAGAAAATTACTTTGGGGCTGAGTTTACCACCACCAAAGAGCATGAAGAAAAGAGCATGAAGAACCTATAAAGCTACCTTTTCAACACAGATCCCATTTCATGAAATGCCACAATTATTTAAGCAGCACATCTGTATCTATTTGGCCCTGGTAGCCAATCTAGTGCCTAGCCTTACAGGACATTAGCAATGCTGACCAAGCCCTGCAACCCAGGTCAGAGTCCCAATACCTCTGAAAAGCCAGAAAGGCCACAGGCAGAGAGCAATCAGCTCGTGAAGGTAACAGCCAGATTGTCTCACAAAACAGCCAGCAACACACCATTTTCTACTAAGACTGTTTGCAATGTGCTCACCTAGTTGCTTGCAAGTCTTCTCTGAGCAATGCTTTCCCAAGTCAGGAAACTCCATTGTGCAAACAGTAATCCAAACACAGGTGGCAGCTAGATATCACCTATTGAGAATATGAAAGGAAGAGGATAGCAATGAGGGCCCTGAGTTAGACTTAGCACCTGCCACAAATGAGGGAATCATTTACCCACATCCTTGGTATGAGCATTACTCATCCCAGTCAGCTGCCCTGCCACGCCCCCTGATTAGTACTGGGGCTTGGATGCAGGGCCTGAGCACTGCCCTGAGCCTTTTCACTCACGGCTGGAGCTTTCACTTGAGCCACAGCTCCACTTCTGGCTTTCTGATGGTTTATTGGAGATAAGAATCACATGGCCTTTCCTGCTTGGGCTGGTTGCTAACAATTATCCTAAAGCATCAACCTCCTCCAGAGTAACTAGAATTACAGGAAAGAGCCACTGGTGCCAAGTACCCTGGGCTCTTTTTAAGACTCAAGTATCATAAAGCTTTGTGGCTTTCCAAAAAAACAAAGTGGAAGTTTTAGCATAACTACCAAGTTACTAGAAAGATGGGTTACTTTTTACAAATTTTAATTCCTAATTTATGAAGCCTGCTTTGAGTTAGGGGTAACAGTAAACCACATTTCATACACTGAAAGGGGTTCCCACTCCATATCCAATTCACATAATCACAATGGGGTGTGTGTGTGTGTGACGTGTGTGACATGTGTGTGTGTGTGTCCATCCAGTCCTGGGACTTGAATCTGGGCCTGGGCACTGTCCTCGAGCTTCTTTTGCTCAAAACTAGCACTCTACCACTTGAGCCACAGCTCCACTTCTGGCTTTTTCTGTGTATGTGGTACTGAGGAATTGAACCGAGGGCTTCAAACATGCTAGGTAAGCACTCTATCACTAAGCCATATTCACAGCCCCTCAGTGGCTTTTAAGTCCCAGTTTCATCTACTGCCTATACTTGTTGATATAAACGAAACTCTGTCACCAGGTGCTAAATCACACTCTCTGGAGATTTCACTCAGTCCCTAGCCTCCCCAATTCCCTCCCTTGTGCATTGATTTGAGTTTTATTATGAGCATTCTCCCTAATGACATAAAGCAAGAGCTGATCAGGGAGAAATGCCAGCCATTAACTCATCACAGATATTGGTAGAGAGGACTAACGTCCACTGCAGCAACCACAAGGTCCCCTCCATCACCTGGCACCCACCAAACTACTCAAAACTCTTGTCCTTCCCACAAATACCTCCTAAGCCAGGGGTGGGTAGGTATCTTTTCCAGATCTTCCCATCAGATAGCTCCACTCTTCTGGAGCCCACCCTCCTAAACTATCCTTCATAATCTGATATGACCCACCCTGTCAAGATGGGTTTAAAATTCTTATTTTTGGGGGGGGGGTTTAAAATTCTATTTCTGGGCTGGGATGTAGCTCAGTGGCAAAGCGCTTGCCTAGCAAGCGCAACGTCGTGGGTTCGATCCCCAGTACCAAAAAAGAAAAGACAAAAAAAAATACAGTTAATATTCTATTTCTCTCAAAAGGGTCATCCCTATTACTTTCCCCCCCACCCCCTTTCCCCCCAACCCCTTCTAAGCTCCATGAAAAAGCCCACCCTCACCTCCTCCTGCTGAAAGCAGATTTTAGCAGAGTAGCCAATCTGAAATCTCGTGTGTGTCTGTCCTGGACTTGAATTCAGGGCCTATGGGCTATCCCTTAGCTTTTTTGGCTCAAGGCTAGAGCTCTACGGCTTGAGCCACAGTCCCACTTTGGAATTTTGCTGGCTAAGATGAGTATCTCGAGGAATGGGAATGTGACTTAGTGGTAGAGTGCTTGCCTAGCATGCAAAGCCATGCGTTTGATTCCTCAATACCACATAAATAGAAAAAGGCCCTCAAGTAGTAGAGAGCTAGCCTTGAGAAAAAGCAGCTCAGGAACAGTGCCCTGGCCCTGATTTCAAGCCCTAAGACTGGCAAAACAAAAAAACAACAATAAAAAACCAAAAACGGAGTTTCACGAACTTTCCTAAGCCCGGGCTTGGTTTCAAACCGCGATCCTCAGATCTCAGCCTCCTGAGTAGCTTGGATTACGGGCGCGACCACAGGCGCCTGGCTCCAGAATCTTCTCCTTCGTGGAACTGACCGGAACCTGGCATCAGCCTCCGAACGATCTCGCTCCTGACACCTACCTCAGGGACAGTGCCTGGACACGGTCATTCTGCTATGACAGTGCCCGTCCCCACAGGCAGAGGGCCGCCGCGACCCCTCACGTCCCCCACTCGGCTCCCGACTGGCATCCGCCCCGACCCGCAATGGCCCAACTCCGTACTTGCCTCTGGTCAGCGACCTGGGCAGCTGCAGGATCCAGCGGACTGTAGAGATAAAAAAGCGGGTGTCCCTCTCCGCAGTTACCGTGGGGGGAGGACAAGGTGGCAGGAACGAAGGCGCGGGAGGCACTCGGCGTCCAGGACCCACCAGCACCCACAGAAAACGCAGCATCACGGCGCCGCAAAGCCCTCGCCATTTATTCACAGTCGGAACCGCGCGCCCTGGGCGTTCCTGGCGCGTATGGATGACATCACCCACAAATCAACCAATCGCGCTGCGCCGTGGTCCGACAGCTCCGGCGCGTTCTTACGTCATCACCCGCCTGGCCAATCCCGACGCGCCGTGCCCCGCCCACTCCTCGCCCTCCGCTTCTCTTCCGGAATGAGTGGTCGCCCTCTCCGGGCTTGGGCTGAGTCACGGTGAGGTGGCTTTGCGCTGGGCCCCAAGTGGACCTGACCCCCCCCCACCAGCGGACCCAACCCCGGTCGACCGTGCGCTGTCCCCCGAAGCCCTTGGGGTGTCTTTAGGGTAGGAATCCAGGACTGCAGAAGGCTAGGTGGCTGAATCAGAAGGCCAAATTATTCTTAGGGAAGGCTGAGAGCCGAGGGTTCGAAGCCAGCGTGGGCAGGAAAATCTAGTTTATGAGACTCTTATTTCCAATTAACCAGTCCTCTTCCACCCACCCCCCTCCCCCCCCCCCCAAAAAAAAATGCCAGAAGTGGAACTGGGCTTCAGTGGTAGACCACCTGCCTAGCAAGTGTGAGGCCCTGAGTTCAAACCCCAGTATTATACTGGACACTGTTGGCTCACGCCTATCATCCTAACTACTCGGGAGGTTGAGACCTGAGGATCACGGTTTGAAACGAGCCCACAAGAAAAGTCTGTGAGACTCTTATCCCCAGTTAGCCACCAAAAGAGCCAGGAGTGGAACTGTGAGGTGGTAGAATGCCAACCTCATTGGACCCTGAATTCAAGCCTCAAGACCAGCACAAAAATAAAATAAAAATTAAATTCCAGAAGATTGTTTGGCAACTGTTGTCAACCCATGATGGATGAGGGCTCCCCACAGCACCTGGCAAGGTCTGAGATCCCCATGTGGGAAGAATCTCAAGGTGTCTCACAACGTAAAAGTTTTAGCAAGGATTTTAGTATTGTTGCCAGAAACTAAGCTCAGCTGGTCCATCTTGATGCTTGGGGTCCAGCATGAGGAGAATTCAGCTAAGACACAAAGATAGAGGAAATGATAGGAAAGTTTATTAGAGAAAGAAGAGAAAGATGAGGTGGCACAATGGCACTTCACATAACCTTTGCTCATCTTCAGGAAATAAGGGGAATTGGGGACAGGTTAAAAAGTATGCAGAGCTAAAATAGTCTGGTCCTTGTTTGCTTCCAAGATGGCTGTAGGAGAGAGAAGGCTCAGGACCAAGAACACAGATACAAAATGCAGGAGTGTCAGATGTATATTCTTTTTCATGGGGCCCAAGTCAGGAGTGCATTTGTCTCGGAAAAAATGTGTAAAAAAAATAAAATAAAATTCAGCATCTAAAAGGAGATGGTTTCAAGACAGCCTAGGCAGACAAATCTGTGAAACTCTTATCTCCAATTAACCAGCAAAAGGCTGGAAGTGGAGGTGTGGCTTGGATGGTAGAGCACAAGCTATGATACAAAAAAATAAAAAGGCTGGGAATGTGGCTCAGTGGTAGAGTGCTTGCCTTGCAGCATGAGGCCCTGGGTTTGATTCCTCAGCACCACATAAACAGAAAAAGCTGGAAGTGGTGCTGTGGCTCAAGTGGTAGAGTGCTAGCCTTGAGCAAAAGAAACATAGGGACAGTGCCCAAGCCCTGATTTCAAGCCCTAAGACTGGCAAAACAAAAAAACAACAATAAAAAACCAAAAACGGAGTTTCACGAACTTTCCTAAGCCCGGGCTTGGT